GGAGCGGCCGCAGCACGTGGGTCTTCGCCGGGACCTTCGTTTTAAGGTGTTTTTTTAACTTAAAAACGTCCGTTTTCGCGTTTCTTCGTGCGGGAGCCGGCGGGCCCCGCGGCTGGCGGCATCCCCCTCCTCCACAGGGCTCGGCCGTGTCTTTGATCCGGGAGGGAGCAGCAAGATGCGGTTCGCCAACCTCCCTCCATAGAAATAATGGAGGAAAATGGGGTGGAACATCCCCCACAGCTCACGGCCTGACACCAACCAGCTGTACCTGCCACAGATAAACGCGGCCATGGCTCCCAAAGAAGAACAAACGAGGGAGGGGCACTCAGGGGACAAGGATTCAGCGCTTTCCGAGGGAGGGGGAAGAACACTGGGTGCCCAGCACAAGCAATGGCCACGATGGCTTCAGGATGGGAGGTCACCAAGAGGGACGGGTGCCACCATGCTTATGGCCACTCCAGCCAAGCCCCGTGACTGAAAATAGGTCATTGAAATCCAAGGAGTGGCAACACAACCAAAAAACATCAGATTTGGTTTGGCATCGCAACTCCCCCTCCATCAGGGCTAACACGGAGGTTTTATAACCAAAGATCTTTCAGGAGAACCTTTGGCTTTTTCTTTCAGGAGAACCTTGTGACATTTGTGTGCAGATTCTCTGCACTGCTCACTGTGCAAAGCGTGGGGTTCACGGCCTCCCCACAAAGGCGTGGGGCCACTCCTGTGCCAAAGGGTGCCACCACCCCAGGGAGGGGAGGCCTCTACACAGGGAACTTCAATCTAACCTCGATAAATAAAACCAAATGTTTATTTACACCAAAGAATTCCAACACTGGATCTTTCACATATGAAGGACAAAGTATATATACACAGCAAGGGGTAGCAGGGCTGTAACAAGGGTGCTTTTTCCGTTGTCGATGATAATATTTGTCCACAATTACTGATCTACCATCGCAGTTTGAGTTCACGTCTGCTCACTCCTTCCTCTCAGTGCATATTTACAAGACTGTGAGGTAACTGGTATTTCTCACCACATGGCACGTGAGGGAGGGGATGGTGGGTGAAGATGTGATATCGGACTTGGCGCAGTCTGATTTTTATTTTTGTTTTCCCAGCTTTAAGTAGCCACCAGCTTGAAACCTATATAAACAATTTAAAAAACAATATACCCAATAACAAACTAATTCCAGAGCTCCAAGCCAAGCCAACGGCAGGAAGAACCCCTCCAGGAGAAAGGGGCTAATTAGAGTATGGCTCACTCTACAGGAGCACCTTTCTCCAAAGGTGGCAAGGACTCCCAATTGGATCAAGAACTTCATCCTTTTAAGACTAAAATTACATGCAAGGGGGCAAGTTGGCTTTCTGGTTGGCTCCTAAGGAGACATGATTCAATCCAATTAGGGTTTTAGACATCATCTGCACTTACTCCTTTTAAACTTATACCACCTTCTCCGTACTGGAATTGTCTCCTCAGTGTACCCTGAGGCTGAATCGTACGCAGGACATGGGGTTAAAGTGAGTGGTACTTTAAGAATCCCCCTCCCCTGCCTCACGAAGACTTGGTTTGGTAGTCTCTGGAGAACAGCACAATCCCCCAAGGTGTAGGCTCGTGGAGGAGTAATGGTGGGAACATGAAGAGAAGAGATTTCCAGCAGGATGCAAGAGCTTGGAAATGCTGTTGATTCCTCTTTGTTCTTAAATGAAGAGTATTTTTTTTTTTAGGGGGGGTAGGGATGGGGTGGGGGGTGGGAAACTGTCCGAGAAATATTCCATCTGTAGGTATTTTCAGGGAATCCCCTGAGTTACGAAAAGTTCAAGTAAAAAAAGAAAAATCAGCCTATAATAATTTTGTATATAATGACTGAACTACTATAAATCCACAAGCAACAGTTCAGACACGGTGCCTCCAAAGCGTTCGTCCCCTCCCTTCCCCTGCCAGGCACGAGCTGCGTCCTGAGGAGAGGTGGAGGGGGGGGAAACCTCTTCCCCACCTGACTCAGCTCAGGCAGCAGGAGACAGAGCCCATCACTACTGCTGGGCGCCTGCAGCAGCTGGAACGGGCATCCCCAGAGTGGTGGTGGCAGAAATGACGGGTGAGCCTGCTAGAGGTCCAAGGGGTGAAGGTGTTGGCACTGAAGAAATCCCTGGAAGAGAGACAGGGAAGCAGGAATTAGAGCGAAACCAGCGCATCGCTATCCAGGAAAGCTCAGCTGCTGAAGTGGTCTCTTTGCAGGTCAGTTTGCTGCTGCTTTGTTACGTTTTCAGAGCTGCCAAAATAAACTGAGGTTAAAGATCCGTCAATGTTCTCTGCAGCCTCTGAAAAGAGCGCAGATTTGGGCACATAAAAGTGTCACCAAAGGGCAGATACATGGCAGGATCACTGTCCTTCCAACTGCTGATAAAAAAGCCAACTGCAAAGCACTTTTTAAAATGAGACCAGAAAAGCAGGTCAGGCTGCAGCGAGGCCTTGCTTATCGCGCTCTCCCACCCACTTCGTCACAGCCCTCCCTGTCATCGGTCCCAGAAGATGACCCAACGCCCCACCTGCAGGACTCGCCCTCCTGGATCCTCACATCCCCACAGCACCTGTAAGTGCTTTAAAATGCCGCGCATCGAGAAGACTGGGTAAGAGGACTGACCTGACATCATACTGGCACTGCTCGTAAGTGCTTTAAAAGACTGGGTAACAGGACTGACCTGACATCATACTGGCACTGCTGACAGGAGTGCTGCCACCCGGCATGTTGGACGAGCCCATCCGAGCCTGGTCTTTCACGATGGGATCTAGGAAGAACACACTGCCCTCAGGTGCTGTGTTGCCACAGAGCAGCTGAAGCGCACCCATTGCCTGCAACCTCTGCGCTCTGCCTACAGCAAATAATGGCAACCACCATCTACCAGAACACAGAAGTTTCCACCAGGTCCAGCAGGAAGCACCCAAGAAGGTGCCAAGGTTATGTGATCAGTGAAAAGTCACCCAAATGATGCGTTTTGGTGTTCAGTGGGACTGCTTGACAGCAAATGCTGAGGGAAATGAAGGGGAAGTTGATCTCCTTTCTATGGTAAACAATTGCATAAAGCCATACCCGAGAATGGGTGTAGCAAGCAGAAAGATTATCCCTAATTACCATCATATGTCATGTCTCTATTACACATCTCACTGCAGCCCGTGAGTTGTAATGAGTGTCACTGGAGCTTGTTTTCTGTAACGTGTCCCAAATTTAGTCATTAACTCTTTATTTTCAGCTGCGGGTAAATAACACTACCGTCTGAACAGAGACAACCCCTTCCTGCCTCCCAGGCCTACTCCATCAAGCGAGGGAATTTTAGATTTCAGCCTTCCTCATGCTGAGTTCAGTACCACCTGCATCTCTGCTTGGACACGAGTTAATTTAGCTGTTTGTCCACCTCTCCCAATCAACGCTTCCAGCATTAGTAATGCTCATACTTGCAAAACATTTAACTTGAACTTCTCCCACAGGCGTAACACAGATCTATACTGTTTGTTAATCATACAAGCCTGCTCAGCAGCAAGAAAAAGAGAATATAACTGAGAAAATGCTCATATTTTGCATTGTTACAGCTGTTTCAAAAACCTAAATATCAAGATTTGTGAAAACCAGCAAGGGTTTACACATATTTACTACTGAAAGTTACATTTTTCTTTGCAAAACCAAGACCTGAATATACCATTTGCCAAGGTACACATTTAACAACAAAAGGGCCTGTTTCTCCACAAACCAGTTACCTGGTTTTATCAAAACACAGGAATCTGGTTAACCCAGACACCTGCTGAAATTAGCACAGGTTTAGCACCAAACCTTCTTTAACACGGTGCTGATTCACTGGCCTGGCAGGGGCATATAATGCTTTTTTTCCTCGGCTGGTGTAGGTGGCAGTGGCCTAATTTATCCATCAGAGATACCAGTCTCAGCTTCAGCGCAATTATTTGCAAAGACCAGGCTTATTATGTTGCTGTTCTTAGCTCCTGCCTGCATAGCGTACTGGAACAGATTTCCCAGAGGCAGAACTCTTTGGACAGCAGGTGATGACAGCAGCTGATACTTACAGAAGTAGGGGTGTTCCATGGCTTCTCTCGCTGTGAGTCGTGACTGGTGATCGTATCGCAACAGCTTGTCTAAGAAATCCAGAGCTTCTGGACTCACCAGATGTTGGTTCTCACTGTGAACAAAGCGCTCCCATCGCTTACGGGAGTGTCTGCAGAAAGAGATACCCAAATCAGGTTGGCAGAGGACATCAAGGCCAATATTCACTTTTTTAAAGAGCAAGAACTGGGACACATGTCCATCTCCGAGAGGGGCTGCTGCTTGGTGTGGCAGCAAAGGGGCAGAGCCGTAGCAGAGCCCAAAGCAGCAGTACACCGTGTCTCCACGCGGCGGCACAGCCACCACAGCCCCAGACAGCACCAGGACTCAAGTTCAGAATGGATTTACGGGCCTAAAATCCCATCTCCTGCTCTTCCTTTATGCCCCTAACAAAAGTCCCTTGTACTTTTCGTATGTGTCACACAAAATGACTCTATGAGGGGAAAAAATACATAAATGCCATCTTAAGCAGCAACTTATTTTCTGCACTGTAATTCTGAGAAACACCGTTTCCCCCCCCCCCGCCCCCAGAATACTGGAGAGAGCATCTGCCCTTCATGCTTTATGCTCCAGCAGTTCAGTTATTGCCTAGATGACATTTAAAAACTCTTCCTCAAGTCCATTTGCAGAGAAAGGACCACAGGAAGCGCTGTCAAAAGGGATCAAAGACACAAAGTGACAGTTCTCAAGAATCTTGGCTTTGGTTTCTCCCATAAACATAAATTTTTGTTTATGTCAAGGTCTGTTGACAAAGCAGTAGCTGTCCAGGTCTACCAAGAGATTAGGAGCTATGCTGGATCTTGGCTCACCTGCCCAAGATGTCATTGAAACGTGGATCCAGTTCAATGTTGTATTTGTCAATGTAGTCATACAGGTCTTCTGTTCCCAGCACCTTGGCTATCCTCACCAGCTGGGAACAAACAGAAAAGTCAGTCACTGCTGGGAAGGCATGATAACACCAGAGCCAGCGTGAAGATACAGCAGCGTGTTCCCTTGGGACCTTGAACTTGACCTCAGTGGTCTGAACCAGCAGCCACAGGGTCATCCCGTTGCTCTGACTTCCCCGGCCACCTACAATCACAGGCATCATGAACACCTGAAGATGCCTCTGCTCACAGTCAGAACTCAGCAATCCAAGGCAGCCAAGAGGGAGCTACATACTGCAAAAATCACTAAAACTTGAAATCTGGCAACACTAACTTCCTTTGTAGCAAGAAACTATTCAAAATCAACAAGGTAGAAAAGCAAGAATAACCGGTCAAAAAACCAGAAACCCTGTATCTTGCACGTGAAGGGTGAAGCACCACCCGGAGGGCTCCAGAATGAAGGTCTGAGAACAGAAAGGCACTGTTTTTGAACATTTGCACATTAGTTCAGATGCAGAGTGTTAAAGTATAAAAATTTTGGCCCAAAGGCAATGCATCAAAGATTTCAGAATCTATATAAAACCATACCAAACTCATGGTTTTCATACAGAGGAGAGAGAGGGTGGACAGTGGCTTCCCACATACCCTCAGGAATAGTCACTCTACGTACCAGAACACACCAGCCTTAATATAACTATTGTTATAACTTTTTCCACATACCTACTGAGGACCCTCATAAATACAAAGCACTAGAAATCTATTTCTATTTAATTTGTTTAATGACATTGCACACTTTAGAAAACAAATGTGGCTTCAAACAGAGCAAAGAAGCTATTTTTCTTCGGATCCCTCGATAGAAGTGTAAGCAGGAAACCTTCACTGTGCTAAGAGAACAGAGATCGTACATGACCAGCTCTCACCTGATCATAGTTGTCATGGCCATGGAAAAATGGCTCCTTTCGGAATATCATACTAGCCAACATGCAACCCAAGCTCCACATATCCAGACTGTAATCGTACATCTGTACAAAACCAGAAGGACAATTCAATTTCTAATGAATTAAGCAGAACAGACTCTCAGTACTAACAGGCTCCCCCTCCCCTCCAGTGATACAAACGCGGCCAAGTTACACTGGGAACAGACTGAAATATCTTCATGCATCTTCATCACCAGATCACTGTTCAGCTCAGCTTTCCAGTTACTCAAACTGGGAGACAGCAATTAGCAGAACAGCAGGTATCCCATTTCCATCCTTGTCCATAAGGATATTAAGGACCACTGCCTTTTTCTATTTTCACTGCAGATTTCAATGCTATGAATCATTGAGAAACACGTGTTGAGAAGGGAAGCAGCTCAAGCAACAAAAGGAGTGGGCTTCAGAAGGTATCTGGGCAGGTGAGGAAGTGCCTTCATTCAGAACTGGCACGATCCAAAAGTCACCAGTAACACTGCTATTTCCAGCCAACAGCATTTCCATAATACAAACTGCCATCAGATATGGGGATGTTTTATAGCTTAATTTAGATGTTCACACAGTCCTAGCTATTCCCACAAGGGCTTTGTTTCATTTCTGTACTTGACTGCAAAAGCAGCCTTGCTGAAAAAATAAATAAATTCAACATTTGTATTCCAAGATCCATGATGACAGTTCTCCAGCTCTTCCTCAGGTCCTGAGACTACTCATTAGTTTCTTTAATTCAGTGGCTTTCTGCGATATATTTTAGAATGGACTGTCTTTAGCTTCAGGTCTCTAGATACTTGAATTTCTGGTTTGCTACCTTGAAACGGCACACTCTTTCCATACAAAGTCAGTAATAAATCCCAGTAATCCTTACCTGATAATCTACAAGAAGCTCAGGTCCTTTGAAATATCTGGAAGCCACTCTGACATTGTACTCTTGGCCAGGGTGATAGAATTCAGCCAAACCCCAGTCTATTAGTCTAAGCTAGAAAGGGTAGAAAACAAAGAAAAAAAGGCTCAAAGGATGCTCCAGCTCTCCACTGGCTGAACCACACTAGTTTGAAGCTTCATTTACAAGTCTTCTATTTTCAATTAATTTGAAGTTGATCAGAGTATCTGTTGAGATGTTCTCCCCACACCTGTATCACCAACCAGTCTAAATAACTCCTTAACTCTCCTTACCAACACTATTAATGGGTTACATGCAACCCATAAAAACTTAAGAAAAGCAACGTATAGAATTTCATTTTATATTTCTCCATGGGATGGAAGATGTCTGCTAGTATCATGACACAGGAGTACTCAAAAGGGATCCTTGTTTCCCAAGAGAAAAGTAGGACCTTTCTCTGCCCTCCAGCCCACCCCACGTGATTACCTTTCTGTGCTCATGGTCAATCATGACGTTATGAGGTTTGACATCTCTGTGCATGATTCCCATGCTATGGCAGTAATCTAGAGCCTGTAGGTGACATACAAAGAAACAGATGCTGAAGTCACAAGAACCTGTCAAGTTCAACCCTATTCAGAAGTATTTCCACATATACCAAGCCTAACTAGGTGGCAAGACTTTACTGTCTAGAGTGTCACATCCTGAGACTCAAGGACCACAGAAAACACCTCTAGAGCCCCCTCTCTCAAAGGGAGGTCCCAGGAATAGAAGTGTTTTGACTTCACCTCATGTACTTCCTCATAAAAGTGAAATTTCAGAGTCCCTGAGAGCAGAGTTACTAGGCACTACCGATCAAACAAGTCTCCCCTTCTCCAGACCCTCGAGGAGAAAATAGTTGTTTCACAAGAACAGAGAAATACATTTAACCCACATTACATTAAGGCACAAAACCAGATGGAAACAGCTTACAATTTTCTGTTTTCAGAGGCTACAGGATCTTTGACCTAGGATCTTACGTTATCTCAGTGTACCCAAAGACTCTGCTACCCTCCAAAAATGGACTAGAATTGGTTACAGAAACAAAGCTGAATAATTGATACTGACTTGATATGTATTTCCCTATCCAATTCTTCCATAGGCTTTCTCTTCACCCCCATTAGTGACACGATAAGCATCTCTATACTCTCTTCTTTTCACCCCCATTAGTGACACGATAAGCATCTCTATAAGATTAGCTGAGTGCAAATCCTAGAAATAAACCAATAAAACAGCAAAACACCAACTTACCTTCAAAATCTCATACATGTAGAATCGAATATCATAATCTGTTAATGTCTGGTATAATTGCTGTGGGACATAAAAACATCGTATCAGTGTTCAACACCCAATAAAAATATCCCATCCCTGCCAATCCCGAACAACCCAGTCCTGTTCTCTGCTGCTGGGCTTCTCCAAACCCATTTGAAGGGACAGTAGAAGTTACCCAAGGTACTCTGATCCCATACTTGACTCCTCTCCCCTTACAAATCACACACATACTTTACTCCCAGCTCTGCTCAGGCAGTACATTCTGGTGGCTGTCACTAACTCCCTTGGGTGTCACTCACCCACCACCAGCACAATGCATTATGCCTGCAGACTGGGTCTCAAAAAACCTGAGGCTGCTCTGAGACATTAAGCAGCTACTCCAGATGGCATTGCACAGCCATTCTTCTCCTGAAGCAGGTCAGTAGGGAAGGGAACAAAGAAACATTTAAATGCCTTGTCCCAGAAATATGGAAAGCCACAGAAACAGCTGTATACATTTAAAGTGGTTCCAACAAATAGTTATGCACTGAACATAAGAGCAGTATGCTTCAAAAAGAAAGGCACTGATGGTCCACAGGTAACAGATTAATTTACTCCGAAGGTTAGAAAACCACTTGGAATCTGTATTCTCACCTTGTAATTTATGTAGCAAAATGGCACTAAAGGACTAATTGCAAACTTCTGTCCCAAGTGTATTTACCTTTAAAGACAGTTACTATGTTGGAAGGAAATGATTAAATAACTAACCTGCCTGCCCCCTACATACTCGCCTTTCCCCAGAAAAACATTAAAACTGGCTTTTGAATGAAAAACATGGGAAGTTCACACTCCACACTGTACCTTAAAGTCTGTGTTGTTTACATGTTCAAAAACCAAAGCAGGTGTCCGAGACTAAAACAGAGAGAAAAGTGTTCAGCCATGTTAAGTTGACATAATATGTTTTCACTTAGAATAATATAATAAAACCTTTTTACCCCTAAACCAGCTAAAAGTCCCTCTGTCTCAGACATAGCTGCAGAGCCAAAGCCCAAAGCCCCTGGCAGCACTGTTTGTAGAATGAATTAACTTGTCTCAGTTCACTGCTATCTCATCCTCACAAAGTGAGGGGCCAAAGGGACCGGCGGGGGAAGGGCCCTCTAAAAGAAGTTAATCAGATTAAAAGCTGATCTGATTAAGCCATTCAAAAGCAGGATTTAAGGAGCAGGGGAAAACAAAAAGCCAGATCAGAGCTGAAGTCAAACACAGCAACTTCGCCCGTAACCCCAGTGTAGCCTTTAAGTTCCTTCCATACTCACCACAGGATCTTTTACTATATCTGCAAGAGTGATTATATTGGGACCGCCTCGCAAGTTCTCTAAGATTTTGATTTCACGCTTGATTTTCTTCTTTTTAACAGGCTGAAGAATAAAAACCAAGAGCGTAAGACAAAGCTCTCCAGCAAGTTGAGACTAATAGACAGCTCAACATCCAGATGACAAAGGCAGGTGACTGCAAGTCAGCAAAATACACAGGAACATTGCGAGTTAAGTTCAAACAGCTGCGTCTTGGTATTACCTGACTGTGCATCATTCCAGCAAGGGCTCAAATATCTGCCGTCTCCTTTCTAACCATAGAACCCTAACAGCTGCAAACATTAGGAAGATGGCATTTTTAAAATTTCTTTTTCAAGCTGTCTGAAAACAACCTGATAGTCCAAAACTCCCTAACTGGCCTGTGAGAAAGGTATAACTATGAGAAGTCCATGAGCTACCCGAGGCTGTAAAGTGCAGCATTTGGTCTGAAGTTTTCAATGTTCTAAAAGTGAAAGCCTTAAAGCCTGGCTTTGGAGTGTCATTCAGTGAAATGGACCATCAAGACAGATTTTTATCTTTTGCCCAATCCCCAGCTCACCTTGAGAATTTTAACAACTACTTTTTCATTATTTGTAATGTTGATGGCTTCAAATACTTCACTGTATTTGCCTCGGCCTAATTTTCGAACTAGCTGGTAGTCATCTTGATTTCTGTGGAGATAAAAAGTTAAAGTTCCAAAGAGCTCAGTCATTTCTATCACAATTTACAAACCTCTCCTTAACACTAAATCACTCTCTCACCTTTCAGACAAGGCGGAGCAACTAATGTCTTACATCTCCTGAGCGCGACAATGACGAATTAGGAGACAAACAGGGAGCTTCTAGGCACCCAAGTTAGATTCAATCCCAAACTTATTTTTTCTGCAGAAGGTAACATAAGCCCAACTATGCATTTCAGCATCAGCAAACTCGAGCTATCCCTTCCACAGGCCTCTCTATATTTGGAAGCTACATTTTTTCCTTGTATAATGTTGTTAAAAATCAACGAAGCCAGTAAGACCAAAAATTTAAGTGCTAGCCTGTTCCAAACAGACTAGCCACTTATGCTGAGAAGACTCTGTACACTTCAGAAACCACAAACTGCAACAAAGCTGAGGGCAGAATTTAGTCTGGGCCCTGCTGTACAAAAGCAGGAAGGCAGAGCTATGAAGCTGGCATCGCTGCCGTCTGATTCTTGGACGCTTTAGTCATGAGCTTGATTTAGACACCTCCTTCCTTCAAAGAAGCAGCCATGTCTTTTCCAGTCACTTAAAGAGTTGAACAACAAGTCAGAGGATAGCATGTACCTATTTAAATCTGCTGAGTCTCTTCACTCACTCGAGTCAGAAGCAATTTCAGGTGCCTTTTCAATTCTTTTCAGCCCTGCACCTAGGGCTGTCAGAAAGATTTTCTTCCCTCTGAAAGGGGACATCTCCTGACTACCTGGCAAAAATTCTTCAAATCAAGCTCTTAAGGACGCTGCCAAAAAAGTTCTTGCATTGCTGGGAATTTAAAATTTTGGTAAGAAACACTTTTCCAAAGAAAAGTTGTGACCCTAACAGTTGCCATGCACACTGGGCATCTGCCAAGGAGCATGAAAAAGCCCAATGCAGCACAAATGCCTGAATTCCCCGTGCACCAGATCCTACAGGGATTGATCCTGGTCCAGGGACGTCCGTGAGCAGCCCAGGGACTTACCCCCACTCAACAACATGCGACTCATAGTCCCAGTACTCCCGGGGTCTGTGTGTGTTCACGTCCGTGTAAACTCTGGCCCTGCTCGGCACGGGTCCCGACATATCAGACAGGTTGGCAGGTGGAAATGATGAGATGTCTGAAATCAGAGGCTACCCAAACTGCAGAGCTGGACAGAAGATAAAGGCCTCAGATTCTTCCAACTGCAGAGAGAAAATAAATGAGAGGTTAAAATCTCAAGATACTACAAAAAATATTTAAGTTAATCATTAAAAGCTGCTGAGAAAGAGGGGCTGGAGCCCAGCCACAGGCCTGGGATCATTTGTCAGAGCTTGAAAACAATCTGTCTGCTCTCCCTCACACAGGATGGGCCTACTCAGCCCCGCTTGCAAAAATAACAGCCCCCTCCCTTGCAACTTACAGTACGTAGTGTAGTTTCCAACTCACGGTTGCAAAGACAACTTTCCAAACGTAAATAAATGCAACATGCTCAACATCTGCAGACAGACTCCTTTCCTTTCAGCTCTGGAGTGAAAGCAACAGCCCCGGGCTGCAATCTCTCCCCCAGCCAGGAAGAAATCTTGTGCCATCCCACGCAACCGAAACACTTCCCTTCACTCGAGGTTGCACAACCCTCACCTCTCGCAATGCACTAATAAACGATGCTGTAAACAGAGCTGACAGATCAACAAGGTCACCTGTAAAACCTAAATTGAGTACTTTCTGAAGTTACGACTTCTAGAAACATAGATTTTAATTTAAATCAGAACTTCAGGATTTACTTGAAATTCTTGAAAGGATCTCAGCAGACTGATTTTATCCCTCTCACATACACTACAAAGCTTAAAACCACTGATTTTTTTGATTCCCAGTTGTTCCAATGCTTAATTTTTATTAAAATTCAGCCAATAGTTTCTACTCAGCTTCAATCTAATCCTCAAATTATTTTATTTTCAGATAATCAAGCCATTTCATTTAATCTGTGATACAAAATTGCAAGGATTTTGAAGTTAGTATTGGGCAGTATTGCCCTCCTGCACAGTCCTCTCATCCCATCATCTCACAACAGATACCATCCACATAAAACCCAGTGTCCATTTGAAAGTGAGCAAGACTTACGGAGCAGGCAGCCACTGGGTCACCTACATTTAAAAGCTTGGTATTTTTTCTGGGCTTACCTAGGGCAAAAGGCAGCACCACTCTGTACAGTGCAACTAAGTACCAGCACAGACAATAGCATTCTTTTTCTCCAGAAAATGTTGTCCAGGACATTTATAGTGATAAGCTACATCCACACTAATTAGACTATGAGGGAAAGTCCATCCCCAACTAGCAGTGAGACAAGCACCTACATTTAAAAGCTTGGTATTTTTTCTGGGCTTACCTAGGGCAAAAGGCAGCACCACTCTGTACAGTGCAACTAAGTACCAGCACAGACAATAGCATTCTTTTTCTCCAGAAAATGTTGTCCAGGACATTTATAGTGATAAGCTACATCCATAATTAGACTATGAGGAAAAGTCCATCCCCAACTAGCAGTGAGACAAGAAGGGACACTGGGAAGACCTGATAGAGGTCAGTCATTATGAACCATTCAGGGATTAAACAGCTTGAGGATGCTCTTAAGACTTCACAAGAAACCCAGGCATTCAGGAGAGCTCTGCTGGGACAGGAGCACCAGAAAAATTCTGCTGCAACAGCCTAAAGACATCTCTTTGCATTCTGCTTGTCCAAAGGAGTGCCCTTCCTCCTCCTACAATGATTTTAGCAAATCTTAAGTTTTACCACTATTGTAAAAATAACTCAAATGAAAGTTACTGTAAGTCAAAGACTAATTTCTAAATATTTAAGACAACAGTAATTTACTGCAATTTCATACCAAAGTATTGTCCTGCCTAAAATAAAAGCAGTGCCTTTGCACCTCTCAAATCTTTCATCACAACTGAAAGCCGACACAATTCTAAACGTTTAAATACAAGAATCTCTTTGGCAGCTTTCAAAATAACTTACAAGGAAGCTGTATTGGAGCAAGAAAGGGTATTGTTTGGTGCACAGCATATGGCAGAGACTATAGAGTCCTGTTGACAGAAAGGCACTCAATCAGTTGGCAATGCTATAATTTAAGTGAATATAATGAATTTATTTGCTATACTGATGTTATCCCTTCACAAAAAATGGACAATTCTGGACTGCAGGAGGAAGTAATAGCCTTATTAATCAGAAAGACCTAGAAATCTGCTCAGAGCAGTTAGTTTAGGTTATCAGGATATGTCACACTGGAAGAAAATTCTAGAAGCAAACCTCTGCTCTAATGGCAGTGTCCCGTCACTTATTGAAGGCCTGTGGTACTTCATTCTGCTGCAAAGACCACAAGAACTGCTGGCTACAACGATGGTGGAGGACCTTGGGGGACACAGGTCTGATGTCCTCCACCGTGTCACACAATTGGACCAGGAGCTGGTTGTGCAGAAACACATGAGAGGCCTCTTGCCCGCTTGGACTGAGCCTCCTCAGGTGGTACGGACCTTGGCAGCAGGGGTTATTTTTTGACCTACTGACATACAAACAATGTAAAAAGCAGCTCCAGGTAGATGGGGTTGCAGTAATTCAGCCCCGAGGTTAAAGAGGGACACGGCACCATTCCAAAGTCCACAACAGCAGTGTGACCGAGGCCCCAGCCCAATAAAGGAGGGATGAGGCACTTCGGGCAGGTGTTCAGATAATGGAAGAATATAAAAAGTTAATAAAAAACCCCAGTCTATTCCTGGACCAAATGTTAGTCTTCTAACAAAATACACTTTCAGATGATTAGGCAGCAATCATCTAAGACCTCAAACCATTTATGTGGCATGACTCAGACACTTAGAAATTAGATGTATATTCCAAAAACGTACTCGGGCATTAACAGAGCATGCAAGTTTACTAGAACACTTCTAGGACAGTGAAATTTATTAGATTTCAAAGTTTAATCACTGTGGTTTTGTTTCTTCTCATTCCATGTGCTTCTGCTGAAACTATGTAAGTCTAAGATGACTTAGCAATTTTAATTTTTAAGCACAATTCTGTACGGATAAAGAATACATTATTGCTCCACCTCATCCACCTTAGCAAGATCAGTTTCAGCATGGGAAAAAAATAATAAAAATCAATCACATTATCTAAAGATACTGTGGATACTTTTTGTTAGGTAGCTCTAGCCCAGCATAAGTTCTATGTTGTAACAGGCTGCTCAGAGAAGGGTTTTTTCAGGAAATAATTGACTGTAGCTTTTTAAGAATGGCACACGATGCCTATTTATGAAGGTAGGTATTATTGTCTGCTGTTCTTTATGCAGGAAGAGGAGAGTCTGCCCAGATAATTTGGGTTTAAAGCAAAGTTCTGCACATATACAAACTTACCCTGTCTGAAAGCTTCTGCTGTCTCTATTCAAAACTGCTAAGGAATTTGTATATATTTTGCTTTCACTGCCCCTAGAGAGAGATAATTTTGCAGTGGATCCAAGCTCTAAAAGAAGGGACCGACACAAATCGGGATAAATAACGGATAGGTGTGGTCATGCAAATGACAGTTTAGCTTGCAGTTTTAAGGCAGAAAATCTACTGTATGAGCAGCAATTACACTTAGACAAGATGAGTATGCTGAGCTTGTTATAAAGGATGAGTTCTGTTTCTGCTGAATCCAAACAGAATATGTCCAGCATTAATGACAGCATCATAGAATAATCTAAATTAGGAGAGACTGCTAAAAGTCATCTAGCCAAAGTAGATGTAACTAGACCAGGCTGCCATTTTCAGTGTAGTCTTGAGTATCTCTAAAAAACACAACCCAACTCCGAAAATTTTAATTTCTCTGGTAGATAAGTGTTTAACTAGGAAACAGAACCATGAGCTTTTTAGGCACTATACCCGAGGTCACAGAAAGAGGAAGACAAAGCTGCCAGTCACTGTCTGACACACACTGTTCAAGGCTAAAGCTCAGCAGCACCAGGACACAAAACAGCTCTTCTGTTTTAGCACTTGTGGTGACACCCCTTGGGAAGACACTAGTGACCAGGGCTCACATGGCAGCTACTCCAAAGGAGCACCAGGCACAAGCTTCGGTGCTTGGTTTTCCCACCCTGGCCTGCCCTTAAAAACGCCATTTAAGTATTAGCAAAGTGCCAATTAGCTAATCTCTTACACAGCATCCTTACTGAGAGCACCCCACAGGACCCTGTTCATCTTGGGTACAAAAAAAATATCACAAGAACACAGCCAAATACAGCACTGCATGTTCTACTGATAATTACTCCGCAGGAGTGCCCGGGAGCCCCAGTCAAGAAACACAAACAACTGTGCTGCCACCATATAGGGTTTTCTTAATCCGAAGGTCTATTAATTAAAAGAGATCAGTTCTTAAAAGTTTGAATTATTCTAACAGTAGCATATTGTCCAAGTTTGGTAAGCTAGACCTTTTGTGCTTAAAGTTGAATAAAATGGTAAAAAGCCTCTCAATGTTTACTTTTAATTTGATGTTTTAAACCACCTTTAATTTAAACATTTTGATTTTAAACATTTTAAACATTTTAATTATAAACATTTTCATTTAAACCACTGTTACTACCCCTCTCCTTTTTAAAAAGGGAATTTATCATCCTTACAACACAGTCTTATCTCAATGGCAACCCCCTCCCATGAAGGACTTGGTTTCTTGCGAAGTATCTGTACTTACAGCACCTAGGGCCAATTAGTGTAGGAAATTCCTACGCTCTCTGTCCTTCCAGATGTATCCACTTAAAGCAAGTAGCAACAAAACATAGCTCAGAAGCCTATGCAAATTAGTTTCTGAGAAATCCACCTATTTAGCCATTAGTAAAATTGACCTTTTTTTTTTTTCAGTCAAGAATAACTGAGATACTGGAATTTTATTTTTTTTTTGCCCTCCTTTTAAATGGAAGTGTTTTTGGCTTGGAGCTTCTCTCGGAGAGTTACTCAGAACCTTAAACCTCAGAAGTTGCACCAGTGGGACGCAGCGCACATACTGACTCCCTGGGAGCTGGAAGCCAAGAGCTTCCCAGAAGCCCGGTGTCCCGAGGAACCTGCAAGTGCCATCCAAGCAATGACCTTTGTGGATAAGGTCTGAGTATAAATAATGCACCCAAGAACACGAGCACGGCTTGACACCAGCTTCCCCGTGGATTGCTGCTAAGAGCACTGCTTGCCCT